ACATGTATATCCACCCATATTATTATCCTTACATACAAAAACTAGAAATTGAGAAGCTTATCAAAGAGATGTCTCATGAAGGGATCATTCAACCTTCTACCAACTTATTCTCTAGTCTAGTACTCTTGGTTAAAGAGAAGGATGCCACCTATCATTTATGTGTAGACTATTGTGCCTTAAATTAGGTAATGATCCCCAAAAAATTCTTGATTCCAATTGTTGATGAATTGTTAGATGACTTTTATGGTGTTTTGGTCTTCTTAAATTATATTTGAAATCAAGTTATCATCAAATGTGCATAAAGGATGTGAATATTCCAAAGATGGCTTTCCACACTCCTCATAGTCACTACGACTTTGTAGTCATGATGTTTGGCTTGTCTAACGCCCTGATCACCTTCCAATCTCACATGAGTTAGATTTTTCAAGATTATTTGCACCATTTTGTACTAATTTTCTTTAATGACATCTTGATTTATAGTTGATATTCATTCATACCACAAGCATCCGCAACAAATGTTTTTGGTACTATAGAGCAATCAATTCAGATAAGTGACAAAAATGTTATTTTGGATTATCTTCAATTGATTATTTTAGACATGTCATCTCCAATTGGGGTGTTGCTATGGATTTATCCAAAATCTTAACTGTTCAACAATGGCCACGACTTAAAAATATCATGAAGCTTCATGGTTTTTGGGGCCTCATGGGTTATTATTGGTATTTTGTTCAAATATGAATTCATTGCATAGCCCCTCACCCAGCAATTCAAGTGTGACTCCCCTTAGCATTTTCATGCAAAACCAACAAACCAATACTTATTTTAGCCAGGCTTTATCCTCTTAGCATTGGCTCAAGCTCATCTACAATCATATTTTTTATTGGACAGATCTTTGATTATATATACAAATCAGCACAATTTAAATTTCATATTGGAAGAGTGGCAAATCACTCTTGATTATCAACACTAGTTGATCAAGTTGTTGGGATATCAATTTGACATCAAATTTAAGGCCAAAGTTGAAAATAAAGTTGTTGATTCTCTTTCTTGAATGCCTCAACTCTCAACCCTTTTCACTAATTTTCCCTCAATCATCTCTTTTGAATAGTTGTAGGGCAACCTTCATGCAACCAAATGCTAATAAGATAATGCTTGATCTCGACAACCATAACTACAATTGGCCTAGTATTTCATGTATGGGGATCTTTTGTTTGATAAAGGTGAATTATTTATTCTGTTAGACTCTTCCCTCTCTCGTTGATTCTTCAAAAATATCATAATAGTGACTTAGGTGGCCACTTAGGATTTCTATGCACTTACAACCATATTCACCATGAATTTTATTTGGATTGAATGAAAACTACTATCAAACATTATGTAGCTACATGCTTCATTTGTCATCGACACAAACATGAAGCCTTGTCTCCTATGAGCCTCTTGCAACCCCTACCTATTCTGCAATAGATATAAGATGATATTTTGCTTGATTTCATAGATGGGTTGCCTTGTTCTGGCATGTACAATTTCTATACTTGTTGTGGTCGACAAGCTAAGTAGGTTTGCTCATTTTTCACCCGTAATTCTCCCTTATATAGCTCCAAATGTTGATGGGGTGTTCTTAAATGATGTGGTCAAGTTGCATGATTTTTTTCTCACCATCATCTTAGATCGAGGCTGCATATTTCTTAGTCACTTATGAAAGGAACTTCTTTCATTACAAGGGACAAAACTTCATTATTAGCGATTGTTTTCTTTTTGGAGAAATGACCCCTACAAGTAGAAGAGTGGCAAAACTCTAAAAATACTAAAGTTGTTTGTCTTCTAGTATGCATCTTCTTCAAATTTGATCCAAACCTAAATGAAATACATATGGGTCACCCAAAAATCATAATTTATCTTGGAGAAAAAAACATTCCTAACATATTGATTTCATTTGTCTAGAGTCTATCATGTTCCTAGATAATTTGCCATGTGTGCAAATCAGAGTATCCTTCTTTGTTTTACGATTAATCTATGTTCATCAACAAAGAGATCATGTAATGGATTATTGTCAAATGAATTTATTCAAGACAAATGATCTACCACCACATTCTCACATCTTTTCTTCTATGTCATCTTCAAATCAAACTCTTGTAATAATAAAATCCACCTAATCAGCCATGGTTTATCTTCCTTTTTCAAGATTAAATATTTTAATACTAAATGGTCTATGTAAATAATACTTTTATCCCTAATAATAATACTTGAATTTTTCTATAGCAAAAACTACTACTAACAATTCTTTCTCCATAGTTGCGTTAATTCAACTAAACTTCATTCATTGCCTTGCTACCATAATATATGACTACTAATATTTTTATCTAATACAGAACCTAAAGAATAGTTGGACACATCACGCATGATCTCAAATAGATAATTCTAATAAGGAGCTTTTAAAAGATGTGCTTCTACTAATGTAAGCCTAAAAAAATTAAATGCTTCAAGGCATGGAGCATCAAAATTAAAATGAGCCTCTTTTACCAAGAGTGAGCGGTTAGTGGTTTAGTAATTTTAGAGAAGTCCTTAATGAATCTTCTATAAAATCCAACATCTCCTAAGAACAATCTAATATGTTTTACAAATATGTGTGGAGTTAACTTTTGGTTCACTTCTACGTTAATTTTCTCTACTATCCTCTTTTCACTAATCATGTGTAGTAGTATAATCCATTCTCTAAACTATTCTCACGTAAGTTGCCCTTAACAGTTTATTTAGAGATTTAATATATAAACAAACATTTTTGTTTTTAAGGCTGAGCTTAAATAAGGTTGTTGAACTTGTCACTTAGTATAAGTATTATGTCAATGTGTTATCATCCAAAATATGTGATATTGACCTTCAATGATTCTTTACTTCGAAACTTATTGTTATCTCATAGACTATGTGTGAAACTTGACTTGGAGATGTGTGATCTATCAATAATTGTATTTTCTTTTGAGGTTGAGTCTAAGTCTGTTCATTTGGTCCATCATTTTCTCCACATGCTTTACTAATATATTATCGTCTAAGGTAATTGGCAAAGATGTCTTCACTTTCATGAGGGCTTCATGCAAACACTTTAATCCAACTAAATATAAGATTGAAGTTTGAATCTTATTTTAGCCATTGATGAGTTACATTTTATCTTAGGTGTCATTAGGCCTAGATCTTCTCAATCAAAGAAAATATTAAGTCATGTGTTACCTAATTTGCTCACTAGTTCATGGACAAAGGCAAGTCAAGTTGTCTATGTAGGGAATTTGGGCCAAAGAGGTGAATGATGAACATAAATGTGAGAGCATGTAGGTGCAGGTACGAGTTCCAAATCTAATTTCTCAAACTCAGAGGATGTGGAAGTGATAAATTAAATAGATCATTCTTGCTTACTTCCTAAACATGATTGACTTCTAATTTTAGACAAGATCATAACCAATGGTGAATTAGAATTCAAGTCGCCTCGAAACCAACCTAATTTCACTGCTCCTTCCTCCCTATTACTCATTGTAAAGAGGTGTTGACTTGAAGTAGTGGGAGTGATCTTGTTTAGGCGAGATGAACACAAAAATCATTCAAACACATTCGCATCTCTGCAATGCGGAGCTCCAGAAAACCTTTCCCCTTTGGGTTGATTTGAGAATCATGGTGTTTTCTACAATGTGAGCTGTCATAAATGTTCTTTTTCCCCGAAATGTATAGGGCAATGCCCCCCTTTTCTCCCCTCTCACTCATGCAAGAGAAACAACTAGAAGGTTGTAGGAGGCTCACCTTGCAAAGAGCAACGTGTCATTAGATCAATGGATCTTCCTTCTCTACTGCCTCTTGCTGATGGATGGGTGATCTTTCTATATGATTGCCCTTGATCATTGGATTGGTGAGTTCTCCTTCTTACGTATCTTCTCCTCTCAGTCGTTGGATGTTTCTCTCACTGAAAATCACTACTTTTAACTACTATGAGTAGTGGCTAAATGGTCGCATCCTAATCATTGATGAAATGCCCAACATGGTTTACAAATCACTAGAAAATTCTGGAGGTTACTTAAGAAAGTCCATAAAATATACATAATGTCTAAGATTATCCTAATTAATATGGTGTCAAATGTATGTGAGAAGAAGAATCCAATAAAATTCTAAAAATATATAAAATATCAATGTACCTTGAGGAATGTTAAAATCACGATTTTCCTGTAATCATCTGCTAAATAATGTCTGAAACACTAAAGTTTAATTCATTTAAGACATGTTTCTAATTCATTACTTATGTATTATCAGCCATTGATCCTCTAATATTACATCATATTTTTGTGATTATTTTCCAACTATCATTACTGAGGTATTGATTTTGAATATTGCCAATGACTTTACTTTTTTATGATTTTCAAATATTTTGACTACTACAAGTTCCACAATTTCATTGATTAAGTCTTTAATTCAAATCCGATAAGTTACTTCATATATTTTGATTTTTTCAAACATTTTTTTTGAATTTATTTATATACTTCATGTTGCTCAAGTCAGATTGGAATCTCAATGTGACTTTGCATATATTAATTTTACATGAAATTTTATCACATTTGTTGACACATTTTTTTGTACTTTAATTCAAATAATATGACATTAGATTATATTCAACTTGAAAATATCTCAAGGATATAACTCCGTAGCTATAATTCAAATATCTCAAAGAATGCATTGTTACCCATAGGATTATTTTGAGCATCATCAATACCTATATGATTATTTCGTTGTAACCATTGGATTATTTATCCTGTATAATCTTCCCGTCCTGCGTTTAATGAGCTGACGGCCAGGCCACACATTATATAGTAAAAGAACCGAGTATAGACGATGTTACATTCTCATCCTACGAGTGGCCAGGTCACGCATGGCTGTCTGAAAAGACGAGCCACAGTAAAAACAGTCATGCTATCAAACGGCCCAGCTTCTCGCCGGCATTCCTCCGTTGCCGCCTCCCCTTGAGGACCATGACGCTACTCGTCGAGGTCGTCTCCCACGAGGCCATCAGGCCATCCGCCGCCACCCCCGCCCACCTCCGCCGGATACAGCTCTCCGTCGTCGACCAAGGCGCCCCCGCAACGTACGTCCAGAGCCTCTCCTTCTTCCGCCCGGACGGGACGGCGTCTCGCTGGGGCTGTTCCTCTCCTCCTGGGCCGCTGCGGCGCGTGGGGAAGAGCCCTCCTGGTTCCCCAGAATCCACACGGCGGCGGTGCTCCCCCCGCTCGACCTCCCCATTGGGTACCTCCAACTCAAGGCCGCCGGGCGGTTCCCCTGGCGGCTGTTCATCAGAGCCCCGGAAATGGCCGCGCTACGGGGAGAGACCTGCGGGGGCGCCGCCCGGCCGCCCACCCGGTACGAGGCCACCGTCGCGCTCCTGTGGGGCGCCATCGCCCGCAGCCGCGGGTAGCCGAAGCGGAAGCACTTGTGGGTCGCCCTCCTCCCCGTAAATCTACGGAAGAGGATTGAGGAATTCTCCAGCCTCTCCTTCGGGAACCTAGCCTACGCCGTTGTGGCCTCCGCCGAACCGGGGACGGCTGGCGGCAGACGGGGGGAGCTGGAGGCGAGCGTGAGGGAGGCCGTGCGGAGAGTGGACGCCAAGTACCTCAAGGACCAAATCGAGGTTCTACTGTCGGGGGGGTTGGCGTGGGAGGACGACGGAGTGGATACCATGGAGTTTAGCGAGTGGAGCAGGCTGGGGATGCATAAGACGGACTTCGGGTGGGGGCTTCCGGTGTGGCACTGCACGCCGATGAAGGACCTGGAAAACTTCGTCGTGTTTGGAGAGGCCGACGGCGGTGCCGGCATGGAGGCGTGGCTGTGGCTGCCGGGGGAGGTGATGGAGAGGCTGCGGGAGGACCCGGAAGTGCTCCGCTTCGTTGACCCCGATTCCTTCTCTCACTAGGAACGGATCAAAGGGGTCAACGGACGCTCCTTTTTCCGCTCTCTTTATTTACCTATTTGTCTGAAATGATTATTTCTCTTATACGGTCTAAAATGCTCAAATAATTTTTGCAAAGCCCAAAAAAGATAGTCAATGAGATGAACTAAAAGCCCTTAACCTTTGGATGGTAGCAAGCCTCAACTCTACCTCAATACATATGCACCCTACATTTCCTACTTTTTTTGTTTTTAATTTGAAGAAAATGATTAATGATGAGAGTGATCCAAGTAAAAAATAATAATATTTAACCTCCTTTTTTTCTTAAATTTAGATTGCAAATCATGGACACTCAAATGTGATAATTAGAAAATTGTTAGCCAATTCAAAGCTCTAAATAATTCTTTTTTTTTTATAGCCATAAAAAAAAAGCTGATTGGTGTAATATTGACATCCATTGGTATAATGATGGTTTGTAGTTGTAATCTGTATTTTGGATTATTCTCTCATATTTCGAACGTCGTGTGCGTTGACTCTGGTTGACTGTAATTATTTTCATGGTGACAGAGCCAGGAAAAAAATAGTCGTTGGATGATTTTCTGTGATGGTATTACCTCAGGAACATGTGTGAGGATGGATATACTGGGCGAAGGTGTTGACTCACCTTCAGAGAGAGAGCGAGGCGTTGACTCGCCTCTTAAAATTAGAAGCCGCTCTTACCAGACTCAATCTCACAGAGATGAGATGGTCGGCGTGGGCGGCGGCGGCGGAGGGATGATGGGCGGCGGGGTGGTGGCGCAGCCGCTGGATCAGACAAGGTAATCGTAGTAGACGAGGAAGAGGGTGTCCGGGATGGCGAGTGGCAGGCGGTCCACGTAGCGGTGAAAGCGGCGGAGATCGTCCTCGGCGAGCGTCTCCGCGTCGACCACGTCGCCGTCGCCGGTAAGGACCCACAGATCCCTCGAGGTGATCCGCCGCAGGCTCCCCCGGCAGAACGGGCACGACTGCGACCGCGTGTTCCTGCGATTTCATGGCGAAAGTTAAGGTTTTGCAGAGGTCGAAGGAGGCGATGGTGGCGGCGAAATTTTGGGTTTTGCGGAGGTTGAAGACGAAGGATGGAGGAAGGCGGAAGAGTTTACCAGTCGTGATAGCAGTTGATGCACATGGCATGATTGCAGTTGGGGAGGACCATCTTGGTGCAGGGCTCCATACAGATGCCGCACTCGTTCTCCCTCTCCGCATCCTTGTCCGGCGGCGGCGCCGCCGCCCGCCGCCACCCCTTCCGGCACCACCCCTCCGCCTCCGCCAGCTCCGCCGAGCTGCTGCTCTCCAGCTGCTGCAGAGACGGGTACAGCGTGCCTGAACGCGTCCACAGGAATTAGAGAGAGAGAAGGGGAGAGATTAGAGAGAGAGGAGGAGGAGATACGGAGAGATGGCGGACCGTAGAATTCTTGGAGGGTCGCCTGCCGCTCGTAGGAGGAGACCTTCGTCTTCCCCTCGACGTATACCTGCGTGCACAGATTCCGTCAACACCAATTCAACAGCACAGACACAAGAGATAGAAAGAGGAGGGAGAGAGAGACTCCAAAATTACTGCTACCCATTCAACACTACATATTAATAAATATATGGAAGGGAGAGATAGAGAGAAAGACAGAGATGGAGACAGAGAGAGGAGAGAAGGCAACTTCAGTCATCAAGAATGCAAAGAGAAATGTGTGCAGGTAGATAGAGAGAGATCGAGAGAGGTGAGCCCAAATTCCACGATACCCACTCAATAGGGCAAACTAATAAACAGAGAAAAGAAGGCGGGGGGGGGGCGGAAGAGAAAAGAGGAACTCTTTCATACCCATTCAACAATCCGAACTAATAAACAGAAAGAAAAGGGGGGGGGAGGAGAGAGAGAGGGAGGTAGAGAGTCGACACCATACCCACTAAGCAATCCAAACTAACAAACAGGGGGAGGGGACAGACAGAGAGAGAAGAGATAAACGCCCATCAATCCTCACTCGTCCACCAGCGGAATTCTACGATGCGCATCAACGAAGAGATGGATATGTTGTCCAGATTCTATCATACCCATCCAACAATCCATTCTAGCACATAGGGCGAAAGAGAGAGAGAGAGAGAAAGGGGGGAGGGAGGAACGCCCACCTTGGTGACGAGCACATGGAGGAGCCCCAGATAGCTGGGGAGGGAATACGAGCAGGCACAGTCCAGCCACTCCAGCAAGAACAGGTACACCGTGGCGAAAGGGGTGAACGCCAGCCTCATCTGCAGGCACGCCCCCCCATGAGCTCTCTGGATAGCGGCGGCCCTGAAGAAATCCATGGAGAAAACACATCGAAATCAGAGAGGGAGAGAGAGAGAGAGAGAGAGAAAGAGGGAGAGAGAGAGAGAGAGAGAGAGAGAGGGAGGGAATTACAGGGAGTTGGCGTGTTGGATGTCCGCCTCGACGGCCTGCAGGGACTCCCGAAGGGAGAGAGGGTGGGCGAGGTTGCTCTGAAACATGGCCTCCCCTCCGGCGGGCCCGAGGAGGAAGCGGAGGACGGGGGGGTGAGGAGCGACCAGGCGGAGGAAGAGGAAGAAGAAGAAAGGGAAGAGGGAAAGGGAGGTGGAAGAACCAGAAGAGAGAGAGAGAGAGAAGAGGATGGGTTGGGTTGGGTTGGAGGGGCTCTGGCCAGGTACGGATTAATCAGAGGACCCGGAGAAGAAGTCAAAAATGGCGGCATCTCGAGCCAGCTCGGGGATCGAATGGCGCCATCCGAAAGGATTTTCGCCGCCCATCTACGCCGCCGGGTGGGTGGCGGGTCCCAGCCGAGGAGGAGGATGATGCAGAAAGGGATAGGGAAGAAAGGGAAGAAAGAAAGGGGACCCCCCCCCCCCCCCCAAACTCTAGATGGAGGAGGGTTGACTTGCATACGGGGGAGGCAGTTGACTTTATATTAGGTCCTTCTCGAAGCTCCCCTGCGGCTTGGGCCTCGTTAATGAGGATTGAATACTTTTAGGCGGTGCGGCCTTTGATGGGCCGGCGGCGGACGCGGAGATGGCCACCGTGGAGTCGTTCGCGGATGGACTGGGGCGGGGGGGGGGAGGGGGGAGGGGGTCAGCAATCGCTTAGACAGGGAAGAGGTAACCGTATCCTGATTCGCCGGGCACCATGGACGGCGTGAGGTGACAGTATACGATTGACAGTGACTGGAACAATAGACTACCTTCTCGCCTTCTATCTCCATCTCTCTCTCTAAGATTAGGAAGGGAGAAAGTACAACCAACGCTCTGAAAGGACGGTAAGGAAATAAAGCCCACCTTCTCTCTCTCTCTTAAGAGCAACAGGAATGAACGAAGGCCTTCGCTTCTCTCTCCCTCCCCCCCTTTCTCTCTCTTTCTCTCTCTCTCTCTAAAGAGCAACCGGAAGCAAAGAAGACTTTCGCTCTCTCTCTCTCTCTCTCTCTCTCTATAATAAGAGGAAGGAGAAAATGCCTTGCTTCTGTCCCTCTCTACCTCCCACCTCCATAAAATACGGGGAAGGAAAGATGGTGTTTGCTTCTCTCTCTCTCTAGCTGCCTCGGTATCTGAGTTGTGACTCCTCCGGTGCGCGTCACCCTCAAAGCTAGATCGTAAGAAAGGAGCTAGAGAGAGAAAAAAGAACGGAAGAAAGACTTTGTAAAGAAACCATCGTTCTTTTCCTGTCGATTATTTCCTCAATAGTGAGAAAAATGGTTAGATTTAGAGAGAAAAAGGACGGGGAAAAGAAAAACTCTGGGAATAACCCAATCAGGTTCGCTTCTTTGGGGAGAAATCGTCTCCTCTGGCCCCTTAGAAAATGACAAGGGAGAGGATAAGAGAGAGGAGAGAGAGAGTAAGAGAGAGGAGAGAGAGATGAGAGAGAGGGAGAAAGAATAAGAGAGAGGAAAGAGAAATGTGAGAGAGAATAAGAGAGAGAGAGAGAGAGAGAGAGGACTGTTATTGCTGGCGCAAGTTCACCCCCTAATCTACACGAAATGAAATAATCCCAGACAGATGAAAGAATTTTTATGAAAAAGTCCCCCGTCCGCGAGGGTTTGGAGACCAACTCAGCTCCCACGCCCCCACGCCACGTCATCACGTAGCTGATGGTTAGACAGTCTCAATCGGGTCACCGAACCGTACGGTCAAGATGTACCCACGAATTCCGGGTTTCGGTCCCAGCCCGAGATGGCCGACCACAGATAGTATTTTAAAAGTCATCCCCCTCCTCCGGATATTGTATTTGCATCCTAATAAAAAGAGTTTTTGAAGATACGAGCTTTTTACTTGTTTTCATATCCTGAGAGGACTTATTTTGCGATGAATTTAGTTTATATCTTATTGTACTTATCATTGGAGGGACATTATCACTATTATTGAAGAATTGAGACCAATCATGGGGTGAAAAAATTATATTCTCATATATTATTGTATCTTTTTCTTATGTTTCTGCCCTTTTATCCTCTACATGTAAATTTTGAGATGAATTTAGTTTATATATGCATCCATGGTCTCCTGAGTAATATTTTACCAAAATCCTCACCGGGCAACATAACTTTTATGCCTTCATTCAATAGAATTTTAATAAATCACATACTCTTTGTCTTCTATTTATATCCCTCTTATCTGGACACTAATCCAATTACGATCTAATCCTCAAAAGTTTGACGAGGTGGCCATTAAGAGTCCAGATTGGCCAACTCCACCATCCTCCCGTGATCTTAATTTGGCCACGTCATCAGTGGGCCCACCACTACTCTAGTTAAAATGCAGGTTGGGTCCAACAAGTATCTATCTTGTGTGCGCTTATAAGGCAGTGAAGGCCCAAAAAAGGGCCCATTAGTAACCGCTGCCTCCACGATTTGAAGATAGGGTGGGAAGGGCCCCATGATTGAGAAGATAATTTACTTTATTATATTTATTAATTCATTTCATATTATTTATTATTTAGTATTATGTGAAATAGATATATAACCCAAATATTTCGGATCGCTCTTACTGGTATTCCGTGGTCACCCACGTCAGACCCGGTGAACGGGTTTGGATCTTCCGGAATACCCGTCGGCTGACGCGTGGCGTGAGGGGCTTCTCGTCCCTTTCTTGCACTCCAAGCCTTGCCGGCACAGCAGAAACCTCTGCTTTCTTCTCGCCAAAGACGTTGACCTGGACTGAGCCCAATAGAATACTGGCACGTGGAATGTACGCCATGTGGACCAACGTGTGGAGAGCCTTGTACGTGTGACAAAAGATTGTGACACGTGTGAGCCACCCACCGGCTCTTCAGTTTTATTCCGCATCTTCAGTTTTATTCCCTACGGTTCTCCTCCCTCCTCCTTTCTTCTTCTTCTTCTTCTTCTTCCTCGCTGATTCTCCGGCACCACGGTCGCCGGCGAGAGAGGTCTCGCTTCCTCCGGCTCCGGCGAAGCGGAAGATGAGGAGAGAGGGCCGGCATCATGGAATGGCGCTGAGCTTCGGCCCCGGCGGCGGCGGAGGCCTCCGATCGCCCCGCCGTGGGCTCCTCCTCAGCGGCGCCGCCTCCTCCCCGCCGGCGAGGCCCTCCGACCGGTCGAAGATCTCCGGCAGGCCCGCCGGAGTCCGGCAACCGCATCCGACCAAGTCGAAGGACAAATGCAAGGGCGCCCGCAAGGCCCGGGGCCTCGACATCGGGCTCAACCCCCGGCTGGTCTCCTGGCGGGTCATCGGCCCCGGCGGCGCCTCCGCTGGGTGGAGGCTCGCTGCCGGCGACTCTGCCAGCGCCGCCGCCGTGTACCTCTCCGGTTACCCCCACGAGGATGAGGAAGAAGAAGAAGAGGAAGAAACGTTGACGATGGAGGAGCAAAGGGAAAGGTATGCCGCGGCGGAGTCGAAACAACCGGAAGAACTCGACGTCGGGGGTGCCGCCGCCGCCGGCGGTGGTGGCGGCGAAGAAGACGAAGAAGATGTGGGGGAAGAAGAAGAGGAAGAAGGAGATGATGACGTCATGGGTTTCTTTGAGGTTTGGGGTACGTGGGAGTACGTAGACGAGGAGGACTGGTGTGTGGTGGGGGATGACATGGAGGAGCTGTAAAGGCCTGTGAATAGAACCCTCCACCCTCTCCGCACCCATCAACCTCCTCTGTTTCTCTCTCTCTACTACTTTTCCCTCTTTTTATTGTAGCTTGAATAATTACCATGACTCAAATAAATTAGATCTTGTGAATATTATTTAATGTCTAATTTTTTTTCATCATTGGAGCTGATTAGATGTAAGAAACTTTAGTATTTAAAAAGAAAAAAAATCCCTCTTTTGTTATCAAGTTATAGACGTTGACTTCCGAAGAACCCTTCCTCTCTCCCTCTCTCCCTCTCTCCCTCTCTCTATCTCTCTCTAGCCTTGTTGTGTTATTGGATCTTCAATTCTCATCCATAAAGTGTAACTTCAATGACGTAGTAGAGGTCATAGGGGTCAACTCAATTTAATTATTCATTTTTTAAAAAAATTATCATCAAATTGATTAATATATCAAATTATTTTTTCTTATTTTAAAATAATGACGATTTTTTCTCAATAATCCTTCATTTTAAAATAATAGATATTTTTTCAATTTGGAATTAAAAAAATTATCATAAAATATGTATTTTCTCTCGTAAATCAATGCATCAATATTTTTTCTTATTTTAAAATAATAGAGAATTTCCCCAGTAATTATCTACATTTTTCTCAGTAAAAATGGTGCCCTATTATAAATAAGACGAAATAGATATTCAACACGAAATAAAAATAAAAATAAACTTAGTTTCCTATTATTTTTGTAAAAAAGTAGGTTAAAATTGTGGGTTTTACCGTCAAAACCATCTCCTTAAAATCAAGATCCATTATTTTAAAATAATAATAAAATGGATATATTGATATGGGAGAGGGACTTCATATTTTATGATAATTCTTTTAATTCCAAATTGACAAAAAAAATTAAATTGGGGTTGGATTCACCATTTTTGTACATTTAATTGTGATATTGAAATGTAGATAATTACTGAGAAAAAATCTCTATTATTTTTAAAAAATAATAATAATGGATATATTGATATGAGAGAGAGAAACTCCATATTTTTATGAGAAATCGTTTAATTCCAAAATTGATAAAATTTTTTTAATTTGGGGTTGGATGTGGCTCATGGCTAGCTGCCCGCCGGCCTGTTGGACCGTTCTAAAGGAAGGCAATGGAAACCCTAATCTGAGGACTCAGGGGCGGTTTAGTGGCTATTTAAACCTTCTCTGGACAGGGATGTAGGATTATCCACCGGCGTGGTCGCTTCCGCCTTCTTAGGGTTTTGCATTTGAGCATACCTGTTCGGATCAAATGGGGCGAGTAGCTAGCTGCTGCTTGACTTGTTGTTTCTAGCAGGACCTTGTCGTGCCCAGGGGCGGCGTGGGCGACCTACTGGAGGACAGATGCCGCCTCAGATTTGCTCGCGCTTTGTGTCTCTGCTAACTCTTATGCTGAATCTCTGATAGGTTTTTCATCGGCAGTCGATGGCAGGTCGTTATGTTGGACAGATCCTTGGCATCAGTGTCTGTAATTTGTGCCGCAGCATTATCTTTTCCAGGCTCAATGATCTGTTTTTCTTTCGTCGACATGAATTAGTTACTCACTTTGATGCGGTGATGAGATTTAAAGAGTAAATAGTTGATCTATGAGATGATATCATTTATCTCTGGTTCGTATTCTCTGAGCATCTCTGTTGTGCCTGCTACGGTTTAAAATACTTTTGCGTTAGTTATTCATGGAGTTGGATCTGTTCTCACGATGTCCTCATTGATACAAGTTGAAGGTCCTCTAAGAGATGATTCCTGCTCTTGCTCTGGAGAAGATTGCTGTATTTGGAGTTACTCTTTCGGATGAGAGACAAGACCTGTCGTGCCACCGCGGCTGGGTATACAGGAGTCGTGCTATGATCTAATGCTGCTGCGTTACCTGACTTTTTTCTCTCGAACTGTCGCTTCTGTTTTTTGTCGCTGGGACTGATTCGAAGCATGAACTTCCTACGGACCATGTTTTTCTCGTGTCTTTTGTGATATTGAAGTGCATATATTCCCATTGAATCTCTGATTGTTTCATATTCTCATCACGTTTAATTAGATTCTGTCTGGTGGATGAATCTTACGACTGGAAGTTGACCATCATTTTCTTACAGAAGAGGTGTTGATCTTGATAGATTGTGGAATCCTTCTCTGCTAGTAGAAATAGTGTTTTCTCATGATCAGGTCACACCTCTGAGTAAAATCCAGTAATTTCATGAGTGGATCAAATGATCTTCAAAAACGATGCAACTCCTCTGTAGATCTTCGTACCTACCCGTTCTTGTAAGACATCATCTCTCTGAACTGCCTCCTTTCTTTGTCTCCTCTCAAATTGTATTTGTTCCTCCGAGTATTTTGATCGATCACTCAGGGGGGATGAGACTATCCTTGTCATGGTTTCTTACTCGATCCTCATGTGAACTCATTACAACATCTTTGATTACTCTTCGATTCAATGGTGAATTATCCAGCAAGCAGAAATATGAAGGTCCCAGCAGAGGCTCTCGGATCTCAAACCATCGAGGCAACTCTAACAATCAAAACCTTCGCAAAACAAGAGATTGCATACTCTCAGCCATGTCGTAGGACGCCTGGAATCAACCCAAGTTCTTGGCGTCTAAACTTGTGGCTATAGTTAATTTTGAACTCCTGAAATCGCAGCTTGCTCTCCGTTTCTGAACCTTTTTTTCTCCCTCCCTCTAGATTTTGATTTGATGAACATCCATATCCTCCCTCTCTCTCTCTCTCTCTCTCTCTCTCTCTCTCAGAGTTTCTCTTTGTCGTCTGACTCGGGTATATCTTAGTCTTTTTGTGCTACCTGGGGTTGCCATTGTTCAAGTGCCCTGAAGAGGGTTGTGTCTGGTGATGTGGGTAAGAAGCTTTTGGTGAGGACTCCAGTTGTGGGTAAGAGTTGTCTGGTATAACTTCAGTTGTCATAGATGTGGGTAACAAGCTCATTGCCACTACCTTCACATCCTCTAATTGTCCCTGAATAGCCAGAAGTCAATTCCCAACATCATAACAATAGATATTATGTAAGGTCATGTAATGTGTGTTCATTTTTGCCCTTGATTTCTTCTCTCCCGTACTATAGGTGATGCTTATATTGTTAGCGTAATGTTGGGCACCTGAGGTCTATTGGTGTCCGCATTGATGTCATGCTACTTCACTCTAACTGAACCAAGAACATCTATTTGCATAATTTCAATCATTTTAGTGCACATAATCAAGCAAATTTATCTTGCTCTACATATCCAACGTTGTGGTTGTGGTGTCATATGTCACCATGCGTCACACCGCACACACACACCAAGGATGCTCTGTGCTAACATGTACCTTATGTATCTTCGGATAGTATTAAGGCTTGATAATGAATTGAGTCATTCGTTTCAATGAACAGTGTATGGTTGGCATTGGAAATTAATTCAGATTTTAGGTTTGAATTGGGACATTCCTCTTCAGCTGGCAGTAAGTTCTTCCCCAAATAGTTTTCTCAATTTTTTTGTTAATTTAATGCCCTAAGTTCCGACCAGATGGGCCCCCATTTAATGGACCCATTTAATGGCTCTACTTAGCGGGCCAGTCTTAGTGAGTAGGCCCTTTGGGTCAACCTTAATGGATATATTCTTTATTGGTACCCTTGAAGGATATTATATTATTTAATGATAATATTAAAAGTTATCACTAATGGATAATTCGAAATCCATTTAGGAAAAAAGCTTGGAAAAATGGCCAAACATCAGGAATAAGTCTCATAAAATCTAATAAAATGATTTCGAACACTAAAATCATGATTTTGGCCAATAATTTGATGATTTTAGGGGAAAATGCTCACATAAGTGTGGATTCTATGAATTTCTATAAAATACACATGCTGCAATACCACGCAAAAAATACCTAAATAAAAGTGTATTTTATGTAGTGGAAGTAAAATATGCTTTCTATGATTAATCCCTAAGTATATGTTATTTATCATGAATTAATGCAAAAAAATATGGAATATGGATATGAATGTCTTTTCCTAATGTTTTGATACTTTCATTAGATGTTGAGCATGAAGAACAAGTAATGATTGTTGTTGTTGTTTGCACTACAAGTGTGATGGATATTGAAATATGGACATAAAATCTACGTTGTTAACATTTGGGGTCTAGATGATAGTATCATAAGATGGGAGGGGTAACATGGAATCTTGCAATGAGGGTTGGTGGATTTTGAAGTCATTATGGGGATGAAAATTTTCATGTGGCCACATACAACTATGTTTCTCTAATGTTTTAGTATTTTCATGAAAGTCATAGTACAACTATATTTGTTTTGGGTATGAGATGAATACCAACAATCTAGGGATTGAAGTTGTTGTTTGCAAGCGTGGGATAGATTGAGGAGTGGTTATGAGATCTAACTTGTTAACATTTAGGGTCTAAATGAGATTATTTGTCTTAAAGGAACTCAAATATATGACACTAATTACCATTGTTTGCAGCAATGTTGTGGCTGTAGTTCCAAAATAATGGATGCAGTAACACATGCAAAGGAAAATATGATGGCTACATGTGCATCAATAGAGATGAGGACACTAAGACATCATGACTGAAGTTGTGTGACCCCTTGAGGAGTTATAAGGCTTACTACTAGATAATTATTTTACCTATTTACCATCTTGATGTGAGATGGAGTATGAGATAGATAGCATGTGCACCATACAAGATGAGGCCATTGTCTTCAGTTGAGCTACGTAGATAGTTGGACCATGTAGGGACTTATTTGTTGTCAAGTACACTCCTGCCAACATGTGCAGCAAACAAGATAAGGCCATTGTAATTGCTTTAGGTTCTTCATTGGTTGTCAATTATGTATTTACTAGGCTCTTTACACATTATCTTGCATTTGTGGTGAGGTTTTGTCTTGAGAACAAGGATTTGTAAGCTTAAAACAAGACACTCTTTTCCACACTACTATGAGCTTGAGGTCATCATTCAAAAGTGTTCCTTGAGGTACTTGTC